ACAGTTGCTGCCAGGATCCAAGTAACAAGCAAATCCCACTGCTAATTTCTTTTAACGGTGAAGCAGATATTCGTCTCACATTAGTGAGCCAGCTTTTCTGAAACAGGTAGTTTATTACTGGCAGAAGGTGAAAAGTCAGTGGCTTTATAGTGGAAAAGGCCAAGTTGCATTTAAGTTCACTGTATAATATGCTAAAGCTGGGAAAAGGGATTTAATTTCATTATTAAATGGGTACATGCCTTTGGAAGCTGGCCAATTTTAGGGGGCTTTTCTTAGCTGGTTGGGTATCCAAACTTGTGAGAAATCTGAGATACAGTCCTATGGCACTGAAAAGTTATTTGTTTTTCTAACACAATCTTTTCTTGTTAGCTTGAACTCAGCTGAACAAAAATTTCCCCCCACCCCCCAAGAAAGAGGACTGTATTTCCCATCTGTATTTCCATCTGCACTGATGATGAGAATGTCTGCTGGACTTCCCTATAACCAAAATATGGATAAGCCTCTCCTATATATCCTCTGCAATGGAGCTTGTCCTGTGTGATAGCCTGCAGGATCTCCTCCTGTTCAGTTGCTGAGCCAGGGCTGACATCAGGATTTCTGTCCATAGGCTTGGCCCACCAGCATGGGGTAGAGCAGCTGTGTCACCTTCTTAAGGCCAGCATACCTCCTTCAGGGGGGAACCACAGATGGCATCAGTGCCTCCAGACTGCATGCTGTGGGGGCAACGACAAGAGGCATCCTGTTCAACAGAGCTGAAAGGCATGGGAAAATGGAAATAATTCAAAAAGTGGAAGGAAGATGAAACATCTGCAGTGCTCTTTAAAAAAAGAGTAGAACCGAAGACGTACGTTCCTTGTGAAGGAACAAATCTGAGCAGTACACTGCCTGGAAGGGGGCTGAACACACAGCACTCAAAAGCCTCTGGCAAACAGAGGCAGGGAACTGCATTCACAGGTGGGTTTTATTCTGAGGAACTGTGAAAATCTCTTGATGCATCTAAACAGAAAGGTGACCCATTTATAAATACTTTCTGCTGCTGAAAGTGGGGGTTTTGACGCAAATATTATGTTTTAAACTAAAAGGTTAAACAAAAAAATGGAATAGTGAAGCTGGGAGGAAAATGTACTTAGGCTCCTGGGGATTCAAATGGTTTGCTGTTGGTGTAGACACCTGACATCTGGCTTAGAGGCCAGTGTGAAGAGGGCACTGATGAAGAGCCTGTGTTAAGAAAGCATGCACAGGGCAGCAGATCTCCAACTGTGGTAGCAGAGAGGTCATGGCATGTTCTTCAATTTTATTAATTAAATTTAAGGACTGCTAGGCAAATACTGCTGCCAAGAAATAGCCCAGAATGTGAGGAAGAGGTGATGCACGCTCCTGCTGGATGTACAGCAGCACTTAAGGAAATGGATCTAATGTTTGAACCAAAATTGGCAAACGGTGTTTCTAACAAACAGGAATCACAGTAAGTTTATGGGTTTGCTTTCAGACTATTCTGTGCAAGAGACTCCAGTAGGAAAGAGAATAGGATGAATCTCTATAACAGCAGCTGAGAATTAATCCTTAACTTCAAAACTTCAAGCTGTGTATTTTCCATAGGTTTGAGACAGGAAGTTTTCCAGCACCACATCCAGTCTATGCTGCAGTATTTGCTCCACACTGGTATTGTTGAATGACTAAAGTACCACTGTCAGGTCTAAAATTGTTACAGTATAGATTCTTCAAGGGATTCTTAAGTCAAAGCAGACTCTGGTTTTCTTTGAAATATGGTAAAATATCCATGAGTTTTATCACTCCTATACTTGATGTGTGAATTTCTTTAACAAAAGCATTGCCAAATGTGCCTCATTTGAAAAAAGGATTCACAGGAAAGGGATTGTTATTTTTAGCTTTCAGGGAATACAAGGACCTGGAGACCAAAATAGCAGCAGATGTGAATCCTGTCATCTCTGTTTAGGAAGAACTTTCAAGGGCCTTGGGCCATCTTCCCGTTTTATCAAATCCTAATTTGAGCTTTTGGTCACATTTTGGAATATGTGATCACCCTCAAAAACCTGGATAAGAAAATCAAGCAAACTGTTAGAAAATGTAGCAACTGTTTCTTCAGGGTGAGTAAACACACTTCCAAATAGGAAATAAACTGGAATGATATTTCAGGAATTTTGCCTGCGTCTTTCTGCAGCTGGGCAGCAGAAGATGTGCTGGATGCAGGATGCTCCCAGCAGCCTGTGAAGACTGGGCAGATACCACACTCTAACAGCCAGTTATTGCCACATCCCTTCCAGTGAAACTGTAAAGCTCTCCTCTTTGCCTTTCAGTGCAGTAAAGGCAATGACAACAATGCCAAGGAAGACTCAAGATAAACGGCTTTAGTCTGCGATTGAGCTCTTCTGCCAGTAACAGAACAGCTGCCAGTAGCTTCATTTGTGCTGCTGCCAAATCCTGTCTCACTGGAAGAGATCTGCTTTTTCTTAGTCAAGTACCTGCTGATGTTAGCCACTGACCAGTTCAGTTCTCCTCTGCATCCGTGTGCTCTTGCTGGCAGCATTGCAATGTCCAGCCTGTCCTTCCCACAAAACCTCTGGGAATCCTGTGAAAACTGCAAGATGGCAGCTTCTACCACAAGGGTCCATGGTGCCCTCAAATGTCTCAAGGTCCCTAAATTCTAAATCTTCCCTAAATCTGTTCAAGTTCTTGGAACAGCACCTTGATGAAGGGAGGCTTCCACACGTATTTTAGCTGGTTTATGTCTCCCCTTCTTTATCCACTAATTCCTGGCCTTCCTTTCCATTTTCTGTCATGCTGATTCATAGAATCATAGAATCATTAGGGTTGGAAAGGACCTTAAGATCATCTAGTTCCAATCCCCCTGCCGTGGGCAGGGACACCTCACACTAAACCATGTCACCCAGGCCTCATCCAACCTGGCCTTGAACACCGCCAGGGACAGAGCATTCACAGCTTCCTTGGGCAACCCATCCCAGTGCCTCACCACCTTAACAGTAAAGAACTTCCTCCTTATATCCAATCTGAACTTCCACTGTTTAAGTTTTAACCCGTTACCCCTTGTCCTATCACTACAGTCCTTAGTGAAGAGTCCATCCCCAGCACCCTTGTAGGCCCTCTTCAGATACTGGAAGGCTGCTATGAGGTCTCCACGCAGCCTTCTCTTCTCCAGGCTGAACAGCCCCAACTTTCTCAGCCTGTCTTCATATGGGAGGTGCTCCAGTCCCCTGATCATCCTCGTGGCCCTTCTCTGGACTTGTTCCAACAGTTCCCTGCCCTTTTTATGTTGCGGACACCAGAACTGCACACAATACTCCAGCTGAGGTCTCACAAGAGCAGAGTAGAGGGGCAGGATCACCTCCTTCAACCTGCTGGTCATGCTTCTTTTGATGCAGCCCAGGATACGGTTGGCTTTCTGGGCTGCAAGTGCACACTGAAGCCGGCTCATGTTCATTTTCTCATCAACCAACACCCCCAAGTCCTTCTCCTCAGGGCTGCTCTGAATCTCTTCTCTGCCCAACCTGTAGCTGTGCCTGGGATTGCTTCGACCCAGGTGTAGGACCTTGCACTTGCCATGGTTAAACTTGATGAGGTTGGCATCAGCCCACCTCACAAGCGTGTCGAGGTCCCTCTGGATGGCATTCCTTCCCTCCAGGGTATCAACCGAACCACACAGCTTGGTGTCATTGGCAAACTTGCTGAGGGCGCACTCAATCCCACTGTCCATGTCAGCGACAAAGATGTTGAACAAGACCGGTCCCAACACCGATCCCTGAGGGACACCACTCGTTACTGGTCTCCAGCTGGACATTGAGCCATTGACCACAACTCTTTGCATGCGGCCATCCAGCCAGTTCTTTATCCACCGAGTGGTCCATCCATCAAATTGATGTCTCTCCAATTTAGAGACAAGGATGTTGTGTGGGACAGTGCCGAACGCTTTACACAAGTCCAGGTAGATGACATCAACTGCTCCACCCGTGTCCATCAGTTCTGTAGCCCCACCATAGAAGGCCACCAGATTGGTCAGGCAGGATTTCCCCTTAGCGAAGCCATGCTGGCTGTCACCAAGCACCTTGGTGATTTTCATGTGCCTTAGCATGCCTTCCAGGAGAATCTGCTCCAAGATTTTGCCAGGCACAGAGGTGAGACTGACTGGTCTGTAATTCCCTGGGTCATCCATTTTCCCCTTCTTGAAAATGGGGGTTATGTTTCCCTTTTTCCAGTCGTCAGGATTCTTCAAGCCGTCATTTCTGAAGACAATCCACTGTGGCCCCAAGATGTTTTCCCTGAGTGCCAACAGCTCATCACTGCATGGGTAGTTAGGGCTGTCCTCCCCACCCCAAACACTCCTTTGCGTTTACCAATACAGCGTGTTACCTGCTGCTTCGCAGCCCTGTAACCATCTGTCCGCTGCTTCTTGCGGACAGCTTTCAGTCTGACTCTCCAGAACAATTCAACGGGTCACCAAACTCCATCACTTTGTTACAGCCTGAAAAGGCTCAGGCAGCAGGGGTCCTTCCAGCACGTGAAGCATGTAGGGAGTGGAGAATCTCGCAGTTTGTTCCTACCCTCAGGGTGCTCTCCTTCAGCAGAAGGTGGTGCAGCTTTTCACTCCACCGAAGCCAAGATTATCGGCAAGTCTTTGATGAAGGCCCCATGGAAAGCCCTTTGAACGTCTGGTACACAGACCAGGCAACCATCTGCCTCCGCAGGCAGAGACCGCAGGGGCTGCTCTGGCCGGGCTGGGTGCACAGGGGAACCCAGCCCGCTCCTCTGCTTGGTCCCCATCGCTCCGCGGCTCCCACCCGCCAGTGCACGGGGCCGCTGGGCGCCAGGCGGCAGAGCGGAGGCCGGGCCCAGCCCACCGTGCCCCGGGGTAATCATTAACCGCCCCTCGGCGGCTCCGAGCAGCCGGGCAGCGCATCGCGGCTCCCGCCGTCACCGGGGACCAGCAGGCGGGCACCGAACCTCTTCCCGTCAGCATCGCCATCGCGCCGCCATGGAGGGTGAGGCCAACGGGACCCTGCACCCGTCCTGCGGCGCCAGCGAGCCGCCCTACTCGCAGGAGCTTCTCCAGAGTAAGTGCGAAGCCGGGCAGGGGCGAGGGGGCAGCGTAAGGGAAAAGGGGGGCTGCCCGCTGCCCGGACAGCCGCTAACAAGCCGGGCAACCCGCGGCGGGTGGATGTCCGGCCCCGGTCCGGTCCTGCCCCTGCCCTGCCGCCGCCGTTCTTCCCTGGCGAGGAAATCCCCGGGAGGAGGCCGGCGGCCGCTCCTGCCTGGCAGCGGGCCGAGCTGCCGCTGGGTGCGGGAAAGAGGGCAACACGGCCCCCAGCCCGCGAATGCGGGTGTGAGAGCAAGGGTGAGCGGCGGGGATCCCGGTACCTGCCGAGCCGAGCGCTGCCCTAGCCCATACACCCGGGCCTGATCTCAGGCTCCCCCGAGGGTTGCGATGTGAGGTGTGAACTGCTCCACCTGCAGCCGGGTCCAGAAGTGTTTTTTGAAGCAGGTGAGGTTAAAGAGGCTAGGGCAGAGGCTCACCTGTGCAGGCACTCTCGGTGAGCCTTTAGATAGGCTACACCCACAATGGGAGTTGGTAACAGGGGTGAGCATCACCTTCTGAAGTAAACACGACTTCAGTGCAGTGCTTTCTTCTGACTCCAGAAACACATTTCCTGCAAGAAAATACACCTCAACCATCAGCCCCAGGTAAATGTCGATACCCATATACAACTTTAAGGGAGAAGTGAAAAAGAATTTGGTGAAGGCATCAAGTTTTATCTCAGGCTAGATATATCAGAGGCTTATCCTTCCATTGTTTGTTCCCCACAAACTTCCATTGAGCCTCTAAAAGAGTTTGCATGCCAAATGAAGTTATGCCCAAAGATGCCTATGAACATGCAATGGAAACAAAGAACTAATATTGAGTAAACATATTTTTTGTTGTAAATAATGTATTTGTTGTCTGATTGGAAAAGTTCCCAGAATATGTATTTGCTGTATTTATTTATTTATGCACTATGTACTTATTTATATTCCGTTATATGTTTACATTAATCTAAATACATTTAGATTATGGAACTTCATTTTCCTGCATGGGACTTTTGTGTAATGCTTTGAGGCTATGGAAGCATATTCTTTCGATATATTGTCTGTGTATCCTGGAAAGATGTAGTCATGAACTTAAGTTTAAATATTTTAATCATCCTGTGAAGCCAATGGTCTATCTATCTAGCTAACAATGAGTGCATCTCCTTGCAGGAATGGGGCTAACAAGCCCCTCAGAGATGGTGTCTTTACATTAAATGTTTGGAATGCTTATGAAATAAATCAGAACTGGTTTATTTAATGTCTCTGCAGGCCTTGACCTACCAGGGAGATTTCTCTTTGCAATCTTGACTCTGATGATGCTAATTGCCAATCTGGTGTTTATAGAGGAAGCGGTCTACATCTACAGGAAAATCCCCTCCTCCAAAAGATCAATCATCATTTGGGTTAATGCTGCAGCTCCAGTGAGTTATCATGGAATAGAGATAAAATCGAATGTTGAAAATGGGGTTTTCCTGAAAATCCACATGAACCTGCTTTATCTCTGCCCTTCGAACAACCCTCTTCCCTTTCCTTGTAGGTGATCGCTACTACTTCATGCACTGGCATGTGGATTCCTCGCTCAACGATGTTTACAGATTTCACAGCAGCAGTGTGAGTATTCTCCTTGTTTCTAGATGTTGTGCAAACCCTGAATTTCTTCCCTTTAAACATCCTCTGCTCTTGGTAAACACAGTCATTTTGTGAATTTAACAATTTAGTAATTTTTGGTTCGAGTTGAAATCTCTTGGCAGCTTTTTCTGGCAGGTGGAAAATGCCAAAGCAGTTCCCAGTGCTACAGTCCCCCAGTGTGGGAGCCTCGATATGAAAGATCTGTGACTCACATGTAATTGATCCCTCAGATTGACAGGAGCTTCGAAGCAGTACTCTTTCTTTCTCTGCGTGTCATGTGGAATGAGATTCTGACCTGTGATGACTTCTCTGCACTTTCACTAATGATGAGCCATGGAGGTCTATTATTAGTGGTGGCAAGTGAACCTCTGATGAGTATATCGATGTAAAAATGTTCCACGGTTGTCCTGATAAAAGCACTCTATGTACAAGCATGACAGCTCTGACACACACAAAGGAGAAGGGAGAAATGGGGTCCTTGCTTTCTGGAGGTGATGGTGCAGCCCTGGTAGGCAGAGCAGGGTGGGGAGGATGCTGTGGCCTTGGACACTCCACAGTTGATTTTGGGATGATGTTTGAACCTGCTACAGGACAGTGTCTCAGACTGTCATGAATAATCTCACCTCACACTCCATGTCACACTGCATTTACTAAGAGCGTAGAGTAAAAAAGGAGGGAAAATAGCATCAGGGAACACTGTTACCTTGCAGCAATTTGTGCAGGTAGTGCAGACTGCCAGGAACTTCCAAGGATCCAATCCTTTGGCACCTCAAGTTTGTTTGAATCCACCCTCCCCTTCCCCTGCCCAAGCTGCAGGTTACTGTCCCCTCAAATCCACTACCCCATAGTCTTCAGCTGCACAGGAAGCTCCTTTAGGGAGTCAGTGCAGCTGAAGAGGACCTCTTTTGTTTGGAGAGTTTGGATTTCAGTGAATCAAATCCCTAAATCAGCCTGAGACAGGGAGGAAAGGGCAGTTGCACAATCTGTAGCTCCTGGGAAGGGTTGAGAATGTGTAGCTGGTGAAGGAGGGAGAAGTAGGGCTGCGGCAGTCAGTGCTTGGATCAGCTTTGGCTGGAGAGGAACCACACGCTGACTGAGATAGCACATTCAATTATATATATATATGTATATTTATATATTTATGTATGTATAGATAGATGTTTGTTGTTGGGTGGCAGTTTGGGTTTTTTTTTTTTTTTAGAGGAGGGAGAGGACTTCTTCTAAAAAGTTTGGATGAGCAAGGACTAGATAACTGATAGAAAAACATGGCCATAATGGCTTGGGCCAGAAAACCCTCTACTTTAGTACTGACTGCCATCAGCTACCATTGTGGCTTTGGGAAATTCCATACCTGCTCCCTACTTCCGTTTATTCATCTTTTGGTTTTCGTTAGGTTAGGTCAGCTCCTAACTCTGAGGTGATGGAAAGTGGAAGGTTTTTCAAAGATAGCAGTGGAACTTCTGTTGATTGCAAAGCACAGGCTGTAAAAAGCATGGACAGAAGGCAGCACTGGCCTGCACAGGCATACGAGAGACACACAGGCAAACTCAAGCTGGCATTTTCTTTCTCTCCTAGATTTTTTGCCATAGTTATCCACAAGTTCCTGATGATGATGATTAAAGATTGTGGAGGTCAAAAGCTGCTCCTCAAGCGGTTTGAAAATGGTCACTTCAAGATCAGCACCGGTCCCTGCTGTTGCTGTTGCCTTTGCCTCCCTCGTGTGCGCATCAGTAGGTGAGTTGCCCTTTAAGATTTCCCAGCTGGAAAAGGGCTGCTGGAATTCATCCCACTTGGCAAGGCCACGCTTAAAGCAAGGGCCTCCCCACTTCCTGAAAGTCAGTGGCAAGCCGGCTCTTTTAAACGGTGCCATCACTTTGGGGCTGTACATCACCAGTAATTTATTCAAGTCTTATATTGCAGGATTTTGCATAGGAGTAGAGAGGATGAGCTCTCTCAACTTAACCCAGTGCAGTGTTTCCACTCACAGTGATGTTGAGCACTGTGATATCTCCCCAACTAATCCCATTATCTTCCAAGAACCCATTTCTGTAATAGCAGTGCTGTGTGGGAGAAGAAATTTGTACTTCAGAAAACCTAATAATAGAGATTACAGTTTCTTTTTGTTCCAGAAGGGAATAAATGTCTCCAAAACGGGTATTTTTCACAAATTGTCAAATTGAGGCTGCTTTGAAAGAAAATTTCTCTTACTTTGATAAAATTGAAATGTTTTATTCTGATTTTGACTTTAAAGCTACTTCAGATTAAAATAATTTTTAGAACAAGAAATGGATGTGATTCCTGGAAAGCTTTGATCTCTAAGAGGTGGCGTTGTCTGGTGTGGCAAAACCAAATATTTTCTTCTACTAAACTTAGTATTAAAGCATCTTTGAGGAGTGGGGTAAGGTTGGAGAGCTGCACTTACAGGAGCCAATATAGCATAGTATAAACCTTGTCTCCTTTGAGCAGTGGGGCCCTTCCTCTGGCTAGTGTCGCTATCATTTACATACCACATCACAGCCTGCAAGCCTCATGTATTTCCCAGGGCTTTCGTACTCACAGAGTATGAGAATATTTCTCTCATGAAAAGCAAAAGCTGAAGGACTGCAAGACAGAGGCTTTCCCATGAAGGCCTGGACATTAGTGTCAGAGGGACCAGAGGGACTTCATGGTCTGGTTAAATGAAAGCAACATAGCAGTTTGCCTATGATGCCTTTGCAAAAATTCTTGTTTTCTATTGTAATAATTCTTCTTTTAACTGCCTCATTTGGTACTGTAATTTAAACTATTGTTTCCATCATTTTATTTTAATGGAATAATACTACAAATTATTTACATTCTGGAGGCACCGAGAATAACTGGTAATAAACCAGCCGAAAAATGTAGCTCCAAAACTGGATGTAGTACAATGATGTAAAATCAGCAACTACTGATATAGCTGTAAATGAATCCTACCTATTTTAATGACTATTGGTTCAGGCTCATTTCACAGTCAGAGCTGAAGAAATGCCATGGGACAGAGCTGTGCTGTAGATCTAATGTGTCACAAGTATATCTGGTTTTCCTTACATGTCTGTCACGCTCTGTATAGGTTGTAGTATCTGGGAGCTTGGAAGCAGTTCCTCTACTGTGCCCTCCTGTTGGTCAGTCCAGAGGCAGCTTACGCAGGATAGCCTTAACAAGTATCAGCTTCATTCAAGAGCTGAGTAGTACCTACTACTGCTGGGAGGAAGGACAGCTGTCTGTTTAAAAAATTAAGGTTTTTTGTTCTGCAGAGGGCCTAGGGCTCCTTCTCCAGTTTCTGCAGCACTGGGAAACCCATCTGTTGTCTCCACTTCTAACTTCTTGCCTTTCCCCCTGGCAGGGTAGGATGTTTTTTAAATCTGAGCAGGCAGTACCAGGCAAAGGTCAATCTCATGTTCCTCCTGTAGGTACCTTCAGGGGAAACAGGGAGCCGCTCCAAGGGCGGGATTCATGCCTTTCAGAAACATGTACTACCAAGCAGTGCTGGGAAAGCTCACAAGGTACAGTAGGCAGATGAGGCAAAGTAACAAGACATAAAATGGGGAGAGATGTGGCAGGACAGGTCCCAGGGTTAAGACCTGTGTTGACAAGGGAAACAGCTTGTGGTGTTGCAGTGACTACACTGTCAAACTGTTCTTTAAAGCCCTTTGGGAATAAGAAATCTTTGAATAGGCAAACACACTTAGTGATTGGCCAGTTGCAGGCCTTTTCACATGTGTTTGGGCTGTTCATAATCCTGTTGTTATTACATATATTCATTGAGCAATTTGTATCATTCCAGGTTCATGGCTATATCCTGTAGCATACTGAATGGCAGCCTGTTGTTTGCTGGGGCAGCTCTGATGGCAGTCTTAAGGGCCCAAGGAGCTATAGTGAAGACAACCTTGTCAGTATGGGAAATAATACACAATAGTAGACTGAAACGTGAGCCAGCCATAGGAGCTACAGCTTGTCCTCTGAAGACTGAAGGAGAGTTCATGTCAGTCAGCTTTCATGCCCTCTGTTAGAAAGTGCATCTGCCCCTTTCCTGGTGGCCTTTAATGCTGGCTGGCTAGGTTATTGTGTCTGGGCTGTGCCCTGGACCCAGTTTATCCTGACAGAAGTAAGGAAATCCTGAGCTGTCCTGCTGTCCTTGAGCAATTTGCCAAGTGAAAGATAGTAAAGATAGTTCCTTTCTTCTGTTAGAATACAGAGGAGCACAGCCAGGTGCTTACATGACAGTATTAATGATTTATTGAAAACCTTTCACCTAGGTCAGTAGGATTCCCTTTCTTGATCTACCACAGGGCTAGGAAGTGTCTGAACAGGAAGGCTCAACTGCCCAGTTTCACCGGAGAAGTGGAATAGTAAGGCAACAAGGCAAGAGCAAGCAGCATTATTGTTCAGAACCGGTTATACTGCTACTGGCTCTCTGGTTAGCTTCAGGGCAGGGAAAGACATCATGTTTTGCCCAGCTCTGTTTAGTGTGTAATGGCTGCAGAACAGAAAAGTACTGTTTTTGTGGAGACTATTAAATAATTGCTGGGTGATTCTTGGAAGGATTTTCTAATCTCAAAGCTGTTCCTCCCCAGATTTTAGCCACACGCTACAGTTGACAGTATCAAAAAAAATAATGTTATTAAAGTTGCTAATAAGATCTCAGCCTATGTGATTTTTTCCTTTGTTGTTCCTGGACAGGCGAAGCCTCTTTTGGCTGAAGCTGGGCACCCTTCAGTTTGCTTTCCTTCGGCCTGTGCTCATGTTTTTATCAATAGTGCTTTGGACTAATGGCAATTACACCCTTTACAATGTAAGTAAATATTTTTATAGGAGATGCTTTACAAATCTATAGGTTTTAGGGTTGTTGTTAGTATCTTGATCAACTAAACTGTGACATCTGTGAGCACTTCCAAGTGAGTCCTTTCTGTATTCTTTTGAGACCCTGAAACATAATTTCTGCCTTCCCCCAGACTCTCCATTTCCTGGCTTGTCTTGGAAAGAAACTGGGCATCGGGGTGAGATGGGCATCAGACTGTGCTACAGTATGTTTCCCAGTTTGTATGGTTAGAATAATAGGAGTGCAAGTTGCCCTGTGGGATGTTCATGCCCTGTGTTTTGTAAGGTGTAGCCTTAAGAAACAAGTGTAGGTACTGGCATGTAAACAGGAAGCCTAATTTCATGTTTTTCTGTGCAAAGTAAAAAAGTTACTATTGTTCTTCTGTTTTGCACCATGTAAGCTGCAAGATGATGGAGCAGTCTCTGTCTGCTAACAATTTTCCACCTCATGGATAACTCGGATTAAAACTAACACTTTTTTTTGTTGTTGGTAAAAAATAGATGACCCCTTTGAGATGTCATGCTACATTTGTTTTCATGAGCTGCTGAGCAGCCCCAGGTGCTGCTGGGGTCAGATTGAGGGGTTGTGTCACTTGTTACCTTCCCAGGCTGAACAGATTGACAGGTCTGTGCCAGCTGGGTGAGAGTACACTCCAGGTACTGTGCAGTTTCCCCATGCAACCCCAGCAACTGCCACCGCCATCAGCTTTCATGGAGACAGCAATAAGCATTTCAACATTTGCATCATCCAGTTGTTCACAGCTTCTTCCTGGAAATAGTAAAAAGCACGGTAAAGTTTTATAGGTGTGGTTGTTTGATTTGCTTCTCAGGTATCAACCAAAGGAGCTGCAATATGGATAAGCTGTGTGGTTGGTGTCCTCACCATTATTGCTCTGTGGCCAGTTGCAATCATGTTTCAGCAAGTTAGGACTCTCCTTATCTGTAAGAAGATCATCCCAAAGTTTGCTCTTTATCAGGTGAGAAGTTTAATATTTCTGATGAGAAGTTCCCTTAACTACTGATACAACATTGTCTCTCTGGTTCTTGGTCCTTTGTTGGGAAGTTATGGTAATTTTTTTTCCCCATTAAATACCCTATGCAAAGTCATATTTTTACCTAATTAAAGCTGCATCCTTTTGAAGCACTCTCCTTGGCTGCTGTTCATTTTCAGCTTGAACTGATTTACCTCTAGTCTCTCAGGAGTGCTGGAGATGTGAAAGCCACATTGAAACCCATTTATCTTTAGGCAACTGAAGTCAAAACAGCACCTTCTCTGGGACTCAAAGGAAGTTTTGTAGATGCAGTGTCCCAAAACATAATGTTAAAATGCGGGTGTGTACTTTTAAACTAGGAGAGGATGTAGAGCATCATTTTTCTTGGTCATTCTGTACTTCCAAGTTAGATATAAATGAAAATACTGACTGGGAATCATTAAATAGTAAGGAACAGAGCCAGATAGGTTAGACTGGGATTAGCCCAGGGACAGGGCCACCATCTTCCACATCACCCTGAGGAGAGTACAGTGGAATCCCTGGGTATGCATCCTTCTTGAATAGGACATAGAGAAAGACTGGTGAACTTAGGTCTCTGTGAAGTAAATGAGCAAGCACTTATAAATGCAATAAACAGGATAGTTCCACCTGCAAAGCTGCATTAGGATGAATCCAGTTTTAGGATGGCAAATACTGTTAATGAGAGGGTTTATACTCAGGTAGTTACACCCAGAAGGGTGAGAGACACTTTGGTATCTCCAAGGTCCTAGCTCAGCAAATAGCAGGTAATATGATGTGTGATTGTTGCTGAACCTAATCCGTGAAGAGTCCTTCATCCCTTCCAGCAAAAAAGACAGTCTATATAACTTGGGGAGCACCACATCTCCCTGCTGTGACAAAAAGTGGAGATAACAGAAAAGATGTTCTTTTGGTCCTTCCTCCACTAGGGAAGAACATGAGGTCATAGGAAGACCTTAAAGCATTGTTCCCTATTATTCAGAGCTCAGTAATTTTTGAAAGCCCAGCTGGGAGGTCTGTATATATTGTACCTCCTAAGTGGAGGGCTGAGAAGAAACACTTTCCAAGGAGATGTTTAATATTCACATTCAGAACAAGATCATCCTGACCTAAAGATGAATTCTGCAGATTGGCAGGCAGCCGGCTGGTAGATGGGAGGAGAGAGAAGGCCAGAAAGGAGGAATGAGGCAAATAGAGGGTCTGTTACGAAAGCAGTATTGTTGTGTGAACTGTAAACCTTTTTCTTGTGGCTGAGGCATCTGTTTTCTCTTTCTGGTGCAGTTTATTCTCATTCTAAACCACCTACAGACATCCATTATCAACATCTTGGCCACACAAAGAATCATACCCTGCGCTCCACCACTCTCCTCTTCAGCAAGAGGAGCATGTAAGTTCTTTTGTGAAGTATGTATGTTCTTCATTACTTATAAAGGTGCCAGTTCAGTGTTGCTAATTGTGATATCTGGTGTTTTCCCAAAATCTCCTGGGATAGTGTAGCTTTTGGAAAATCTCAGCTTTTACTTAAAAAGACAGTAGCAGAATTTTTATAGGTGTCATAGTTGCAGAGAAAAACTTGATAATGAGAAGATTTGGAGTCAGAAATGAGAGGAAAAGAAGCCAACATGCATAATTACTCTTAAATCCCTTGGGGTTTGCATATATAACTTACTGCATGCTTATTGATGGGCGATTCTCTAACTGACTTTATTGCCAAGTCTGAGAGACACTCCCTTATGGGGACAGGGTGGTGAAGCTTGTTCCTTTTGTGCAGATGAAAATGAATAAGCCAGGTATTTTGTCTCTGATAGTCATTTCCCCCTTCTGGGGGCTTTTCTTTGCCTCCCTTTTTTGGCAGATATGACCCAGCAGCTCCTCATAATGGAAATGTTTCTGATAACCCTCATCTCAAGGGTGGTCTATCGGAGAAAATACAATGACCTAGAGCCTCTGGAGTGTAAGGCTGAAGAAGCTGGGGACAACAAGCAGACTCCAAAGATTATCCTAAATGGCACAGTTACTGAAGATGGATTGCCAAGGGTTTAGAAGACCTCTGTGCTCCTGTTCTGTGGCGCTGGAAGCTCATCTTCAGGAGCTTACACATTCTTGCATCACAAATAACCACTGTCCGTGTTGGAACAACTTCTGACACAAATGCCTGTGAGCTATGGTACTGAAAGGGCCACTAGTGGAAAGATAACCCCTTTATTCTCTGGTGATACATACATGATGTGAGTGGTTTTGTACCATGTAATCTAGTAAGATTTTATACCATGTATTTTTATGCTGTTATTGAGCACTCAATGGTGGCCAAACTGTCTCACAATGTGATTTAGGGTTAATCCAGAGTCATTCCTGTTCATCTCTTTACTCTGTCCAACACAGCATTTTCCCACCCTTCCTCCACTAACATTTATCAGCTCTCACTCTGTGCCATAAACTCAGTATAGCTTATTCTGATAAGTAAATACATTTGCATATGTTTGTTCTGAAATCCCCAAACCTGTCTGGGCTCTCCACCTACAGAAATTATGATCTCTTTAGGTCAAGACTTTTCACATTCTTTGGCAATTCACCTCCTAACTTGATAAATACACAGTTGCTGTTTGTAAATACGTCCCTGGCAGATGTTCTTCTGTCCTGGGTTCAGCTGTAAGTTATTTTTCTCCTTCCTATTAGGTGGTGCAGTGCTGTGTTTTGGCTTTAGTCTGACAACAGTGCTGATAACACACAAATGTTCTAGTTGTTGCTCAGTAGTGCTTACCCCAATCAAGGACTTTTCAGTCTCTCATGCTCTGCCAGTGAGGAGGGACACAGGAAGCCGGGAGGAAGCAGAGACAGGACACCTGACCCAAACTACGCAGAAGGCTATTCCATACCACAGCAAGTCATGCCCAGTATATAAACTGGAGTTACACGGAAGGGACCAGTCGGTGCTTGGGTTTGGCTGGATATTGGTTGGCAGGTGGTGAGAGATTGTATTGTGCATCACTTGTGTTTATTGTTCTCTTTTCCTTTTCCTCTTTTAGTTTTATATTTTCTCCCCTTGTTTGTTTCCCTTAGCATTATTCCTATTGGTGGTAGCTGTAGTGGTTTGTGTTATACCTTAATTACTGGGCTGTTCTTATCTCAGCCTGCGGGAGTTACATTCTTTCAATTCTCCTCCCTATCCTGCCTGGAAAGCAGGGGGAAGAGAGGGGAAGTAAGTGAGGAGCTGCATGGTGCTGAGTTACTGGCTGGGCTCAAACCACCACATCTTCCTAGGATGGCAGATTCTCTGTCACTAGCCTGGAAAAAGAAAGTAGGAGTTAGAGTATGAGATGTCTTCTGCCACTGTTCTGTGATGTTACCTGCTGCTTTGGCTCCCTGCATGGAAAATGGGAATAATGATTCTCAGGATCCTTGTGCTAATGGTTGTCTGTGGGGATTAGTGCGATTGAAAGGAATATTGCAGGTGCTGATCAACAGCCAGCTGAACATGACCCAGCTTGTGCCCAGGCAGCCAAGAAGGCCAACAGCATCCTGGCCTGTATCAGAAATAGTGTGGCCAGCAGGGCCAGGGCAGTGATCTTCCCTCTGTACTGGGCACTGCTGAGGCCCAGTGAAGAGAGTGTCAGTCTCTTCCCCCAAGTAAGGATGAGAGGAAATGGCCTCATGTTGTGCCAAGGGAGGTTTAGATTGGATATTGGGAAAAATTTCTTCACTGAAAGAAAAAGTCAGGCATTGGAACAGGTTGCCCAGGGCAGTGCTTGACTCACAGTCCCTGGAGGTATCTAAAATAAGTGTAGAAGTGGCACTTAGGAACATGGTTTAGTGGTGGACTTGGCAGTGTTGGGTTAACGGTTGGACTCATCTTAAAGGTCTTTTCCAACTTAAACGATTCTGTGATTCTGCAGAATCTCTTTCAAGAAATTCTTACCTCCCCAGCTTCTTCCCCCCAAGTCTGACATGCCCAGGCATTCAGTAGGACTTCAGGTATTACAGGAGCTTTTTAATTCACACCCATTGCTCTGTTTTGCATAAACCATTTTTAATTTTTGCAAATGATCCTGATGTTCTTGGATGAACCTAATTGCTTTGGATTAGCTCACTCCAATTTATAAAATGATACTGTGGTTAGTAAGCATTTGGATATTCCGTTTGCTGGGATGGGAGGTGCAGTGCTGTATACTAACATTTATCTATCCTCTTCTAGTACAATCCCTTAAAGTAAATACCCAATCCAAGCAACAAGAATGCTTATTCCATACAGTGGCTGCAAAAATGTTACGTATTGGAAAGATGTTAACCTATATCGTCGCAAATATAACTTACCATTAGGGCAAAGCTAGGCAGATAGAATTATAGAATAGTGTGCATTGGAAGGGACTTTCAAAGGTCATCTGCTCCAACCCCCTGCAATGAGCAGGGACATCTTCAACTAGATCAGGTTGCTCAGAGTCCCCTGCCTGACCTTGAATGTTTGCAGGGATGGGAAGCCCCTCTCTGCATAACATGTTCCAGTGCCTCACTGCCCTCATCATAAAAATTTATTCCTTGTATATAGTCTGGATCTGCCCTCTTTTAGTTTAAAACCATTACCCCTCGTCCTATTGCTGTAGGTCCTGCCAAAATGTCTTTCACCATCTTTCTCACAGGCCCCCTTTAGGTACTGGAAGGCTGTTGTAAGGTGCCCTCAGAGCCTTCTCTTCTCCAGGCTCTCAACCCCAGCTCTCTCAGCCTGTCTTCATAGGACAGGTACTTCTGCCCTCTGATGATTTCCATGGTCCTCCTCTGGACTTACTCCTGCAGATAGTGGGGATTTATTTTAAGTTTACATTGAATTTAAAAAAATGCTTTCAGTTTGGGAGTTGGTGGAAATTTAAGTATTTTGAAAAGAGGTAGTGAACCCTCTGGAAGTAGAAAAGGGGCCAAATTAAAAACATGTTTTCTGCTTTTTGATTGAGGTCATAGAAAATACTTTCTTTAACAATTGAAGGATTCTATTACAGTAGAAAAAATTAATTATTTTTGTTTTGAAGTGGTTGCAACAATTTTTATGTTGAATCTTTCTTCTATGTAGGCAGTCAGGGAAATCAATACAGATTCTTGAGCTGCATTAATGTGTGAGAATCTGCGCTTTCCCCTTGAAAAATGATTTAGGTGAAAATTTTCACTCTGCATTAGAGTGTGTCAGTAGAATTAATTGGGATCAGATAACATATGCTTAACACAAGTAATCTTCATAATATATTTTCACATTATGGCTATTAACATGTTCCTAATGTTGCTTTCTATCAGTGTAGTCTAGGCCACAGGTAGCTATGTAGACTTTCAGAGTAGTGCTTAACTTCATAATGGCATTGGGAATGGCTGGCTATGAGTTCAAGCAGCTTCAAAATTGGAAAACAAAATAGTTTGAGTTTGTAAAGGATCTTTGTGAATTGCTGTGGAAAAGGCATCCATTACTACAGCAAATGAGACCAATGAGCTTTACTGCTGAATGTTTCCTGCAGTGGTTCTGCTAGGGGCATACATTGGTGGTTGGGATCTGTGGCATGGAAGAGAAGATCTATGCACTACAGCATGGATAGTGCACTCAAAAACAGATGGAGTGTATGGAGAAGTGGTAGTCTCTGTAAGTCCAGTGAAGGAAGCTGCTGGGGTGCAGCAGAAGTCTTCACATGTCACTGTTGGTCTTGTATCTGTCTTGTCTCTGAAGTGCCTGGTAAATATATCTTGTTAACACCAGTGTGGGCCTGATTTTGCCACAGGTATCATGAGCTGTTACGCTTTTGGATAGATGTTAATGTGCAATGTGATTTTCAGCTGACATATTTCAGCAATAAAATGTACCATATTGAATCTAAGCAGACTTTGGGTTTGGCAGCAAAGACGTTTCTTTCTACTGTGTACAGTCATGGAGGTCTCATTTTTAATTAAGAAATTCTTGCCCACCTCTGGCTCAGACCAATAGCTGTAGCCTGCTCAGTCAAGGTGCAGTGCCTGGGTATTTACAGTGGTAAATAGAACAAGTCAGGGAATAGGTAGATTTAGTGTAAGCAGTAGAGAAGCTCAGAAGACATGGATAACAGAGAGGAAGACAGCAGCCATTTGCTACACAGCTAATGAAAATACTAGAACAGGTCTGTTGCAGCAACCTCTTTAATCCATTGCCACTTGACTTCCTTACCCTTTTAAACAAAGCGTGACTGCTGCTGACAGTTTGAATGCTACTGCTTTGACTGACAGCCCTTCATGTGTTCCTTCAGGACAGATCATGAATCTGTTTGCACCTCCCTAGCTCCCAGGTAAAATGGATTCCTATTTTTAAGACACAATCTGTGGGGGAAGAGGGCTAGATTTACTGCTAGCAAATCTAGTGGGCAGATTTACTGACCTTTTGCTGTTTCAGATCTCCTTAAACATCCTTGTATCAGCTAGGATCAGGCTGCAGAAGTTACATTTTTGTGGAAGAAATCAGACTTACATTTTGGCAATATTTTGGATGGTTTGGGCCAGTTCTAGGGAGAGAGAAGAATTGACCGAAGGCAATTTCCCTTTCAGTTGTGTATATCTCTTCCCTTTGCAATTACAAACAGGCCACCTCCTTTAAGACCTGACTGCCCAGCATTCATTATGCAGATAGGGTCCAGCATATGTAGAAAACTAAAGGTAGGATAAAATTACTTTTGTTTCCTTTAATGCAATTTAGCAGCTGAAAAGTGTCAGTTTCCCCTCCAGAGATTCAGGCACTAGATCACAAATGACTTCTGGGATCTAAGGCATAATTTTTATACAGGCTGAAATTGATTCAGACATCTGATAGAACTGTTAAGCTGTGAGAAAGTGCTGCAAGACATTGTGCAGAGCAGAGCCATGAGAAGAAAGGTTAAGATTGCTGGAGAAGGGAACAGTGTTGACAAAAGATAATCAAGTAGCTCAAGGGTTCTTCAAGAGCAAACCCATGAAAAACATACAAAATCCTATAGAAACAAGACCAAGTAGCCTGAGGATGGCAGTTTAGCAACGTCAGTGATCTAAGCAGCAGCAGAAGCCAACCTTTCCCTTCCCTTTGTGACTGAAGGCTGCCCAGCCAACAGTGACTCCTTGGGTGCCTTTATCAGGGTGGCAAGCACATTAGCTTGTTAGCTCTATCTACACATTGTGAATATTGACCAATAAATCATAAGTTTTATTCTTCTTTTAAGCTGCAAAATCCATGGTGCAGAAGCTTGGTACATAGCAAAAAGCACCCCAATGAAATGACCCAGAGGAGGAAGGTTACAGAACAATGGAGAACTATTGACTATGAGCAGCACCTTCTCCTTTATCACCCTTTGAGAACCACTGCCTTAGGAAAAAAAGGAGGAGTTAGAAAAGCATGAAAACAAGTTCTGAATTTATATTCATCCTTTATTGCAAATTGCTGAACGAGGCGAGTTTATGTGTTTCCTTCTAGCCTTGCCATAGCCAGCCAGCAAAGGGTGTGAGCTAATTGTTAAATTCAGTTCAACAAGTTCCTCATTAGGGGGAAATTACCTGAGTTTGAAATCTGCTAATTTTCCAATCAGGGTGAGTGTTTGCACTTGTGATTTGGAAATAATTAACACATGGTATAACATCAAAGCCTGTGTAAAGGCTAATGGTAGAAGGACTAATTTCCTTGGCATGAAAATGGCGTGGTTGGTTTCCTCAGAGCTCTATCACTATCCTTTCAGTATTGGTATCTGCTGTGTAGGGTGTTCTGGTATATATTTAGATTGGTTCTCTGCAGAGTTGTACTTTTTAATTTTGAAAAATTGAACCCTTATGTTCCAGGGCTATGAGTAATATTTTCATTTTGAAAGGTGCTACATTTATTGCTTTTTTCTTCATGTCAATGCAGACTTTTGCACTATTACTTGCATCTATTATCTCTAAAAGGCGATCATAAATCATCATTTTAGACTAGGGCTTAAGCCTAAATTCTGCAAGATTTAAAATGTATGTTTCCAGGAAAGCCATATTCTAGTCCTCAAGGGCATTCCTAGGACTGTGAATGACCTATAGTATTTAGAAAGAAAGGGTATCCAGGTAGGACAATTAATTCGGAAAGCAGATGTGTACATGGGAGAAACAAAAGTAGCTGGAAAACACAAACAAATTTTCTACTTTAAAGTTTCAGCTATTGATATAACCTGATCATCACCACTTCTATGTCTTATCACATAATATTAGCTGGTCTAAACCAGGTATTATTTCTGGTAAACAATACTACCTTTATAGCTTAGACCATAGCACTAGTACAACTCAGAGCATTAGTGACTTCTCACCATGAAGCTTGCAAGGGAGAGGGATTTAATCTCTGGTAGTTGAGTCAGCTGCACCCAAGGGTGTCCTTAGTCCTGCTGGTGTGAGTATATTGTGGCTTATTGACAAGATGGGTGTGACGTGACAGCTACCAAGGAGAAGAGTCCATTCCATGTAAGCAGGCAGCATGCAGCAGAACACAGCTGTATAATCTGGACTCGTGTCTAGTCTAGAAGCAGTCCAGTTTGGCCACAGGCACAGTGACACAGAGTGCGGTAAATGAGGTCTGCTCGCCCACAGTTAGCATCACCTTTACACCCCTAAGACCTTCAAGCAGAGCCTCCCACAAAAAAAAAAAACAAGCCAGCAAAGGTAGGGTAGCTTTAAATGGTATCTGATCTACCAAGGCTTCATCAAGCAGCATCCTTTAGGCAGGAAGGCTGCCCTGCAAAGATCTAGGAGGAAAATGTGGGTTTTTCTGCCCTGTCTTCTCCAATGTCCATGGGTATCTATGGCAACTGTTTGCACTGAGATAGGAATTGTGTTTCAGGTACATATGAGTCAGCAGTTGGGAATTCTCTTACTGGATTAATGTCTCCAACTTGGATAACCTGTTTTGAACACTTCCAGTACCTTAATTGCTCAGAGCATTCTCTCTCAAAGCTTTTTTTGATGAACGTAAATAGAGCTTGCATTTCTTCTTTCACAGAAAAAGCATTTGTGATTTGTGTCTATGCCCATCAAGTAGCATTCATGCTGCCAGAAATGCTACACACAGGTGGTAGGGATTTGCATTTTCATGCGAGCTGATGACGACTCCCCTTCTCGGTCAGTTCTGCTTTTTATAGCTCATTGCTTATGAATTACTGTTGCTTCTGAAATTCTGGGCTGTGATTCTCATATCCATTTTTCTTTTGCTCTGTTTCTGATCAGCTGCCTACTTTTGTTCATGACATCATCTGCTGCTGCTTCTGTGCTTCAGGAGAAATTGTTAACATCTGAATCAGTTGCTTTGGTTATAGACAATATTTCCTATGTCAGATTCCCAGAACTGTGAGAGCATCTTCTTGTCTCTCTCTCATATAGAGCATCCCCTTTTCCTTGCTCATACGTAACGTGAAAAAGAGCATAAGCAAGTGAGTCTGAGAGGCTAATACATTAAAATTCATGTTTTTAATTGGAGATTATTGCTTGTTTTTCTGAGGTTATTTATTTTCTCTGCGTAACTTATCTTTTACTTCCAAAAAGGATCGAGTTTCAAGCTCTGGCCAAGTAACCCTTATTTCACAAGAAACACATTGGCCATTTCACTCCAGTTCTGACTGAGCAGCTATTGTGTTACAAAAGACACACCTGGCAACTGGGGGCTCATTTTTTTCTGTCGTGCCAGCTGCCTTGGAAGTTGCTGAGGAACCCAAATGCACAAGCAAGGAAAATCAAAGCCATCAGGTTATCTGCCAGACAGGAGTCCTGCCTGTGGTCTGCCTGTGGATAACATTAAGGAGATAAAGCTCAACCAACTCTTTCTCTCTTCCTCTCTCATCCTTTTGGTTATGTGCTTCTTTCTATTAGGCAACCTCTTATTTCATGCTCCCTCTTCCCTTTGAAATTCTCTTCTTGGAGGCCTAAAGATTGCAGTGTCCCACCTGCAGGGGCAAAAATGGCCCCTACCACCAAAACGGGAGATGTCTGAAAAAGTCCCCTGGTGAGATGACGCCTTGTTTGGCTGCCTGCTGAGGACCCAAGGCAGCTCCAAGCCCTAAGGTAAGTGGCTGTGACATTACAATGGTCTTTGCTGTCAGTATAATTATGCATCAGAAAATCAAGCAGCTTCTGGAAGCTAGTAGTAGTTTCTTAAAAATAGTAATGAGTTAAATGTTAGTTGCTCTTTTACCAGCAAATTGTGGATGTCAAATGTGCACACACACACACAACTGCCTCCTATAATTCATCTACTTTTAACCACTTGTACAGATTAAATTGAGTGACATGCAAAACAGATATTAAAGACATATGAATACTAAGTTGAGCATATCAAATGAAGGTTTTGGGGAGTTATGTCTGATCCAACATAGAAATTATTTGACTGTAAGTTTTATACTGATATTTCCAAATCACCACTGGGGCTATCAAGCCATTCTCTGGTTTTAACGTAAATTGACCTTTTGTTAAGCATTGGCCCAGCAGATAGCATCCCCTCGAAGGAAACAGACAGGCACGTGCTTTGTTCGGATCCTCCAACTCCTGAACAGCCAATGCAGGTCTTCATATTACAAGGCAGCAACTAGCATAAGAAACAGCTCCCAAGTTAGCCTTGCCTCTGCCATATGGTGCCCTTGCCTACAGCTTCTTCAGAAAAACTCTGTTTATAATCCATTGGAAAGGAGTGAATTCAGATTTTTCTTGAAATGATGGTAATGGGATTTTGAATTGCTTTTGTAATGTTAAAGAACAGACAATGCTAGTAGTGTACCAACAGCCCCATCATCGTTTTTAGCCTGTCTCCCTCTCAAGGAAAGAATGCTGATAAATTGAGAGAGATTAAAAGGATTTAATTTGGATTTATCTTTCTTAATTTTCAAGACTTAAACCCACCCTTTGAATGCTTCTTTATGAGGAAGTGATCTGAAATCTTTATTAGTTTAATAGGATTTGGCTAATATTACAGCCTTTATCCAATACTCAAGCTGGATTTCCATCAACAGTCTAAACAGATTTCCCTGACACTAAGGCAAATCCTCTCTGTAAACAATTGTAGCTGCCTAACACAAGCCTTGCTACTAGTGCTTTCCCTCCACATGAGTAAGCGATGTCTGTAGAAACCCTCTCCTAAGGAAAGGTGAGGCAGGTGTGACTAAGTGCCAACTACCTGCTTGGTTTTCCATTATGTCATGTGATTAATTATGTCCAAATTTTCTTTTCTTCTCTCTGCATTCTTCTTCCACCTAAAAGTGGGTGAAGAACCCCTGTAATTTTGTCACAAAATCTGCAGTGAGAGATGATTAATAAAATTTCACTGACCACCTTCTCCCGTCTCTAAATTCTTGTATTCCTGGGAAGCTACAAGCTGACCATACAACAGCTGTCTCCATCCCTGAGCTACTTGCAGAGTTTTCCCTCTTTTCCAGCTACTCGTAACAGTTAAAAATGGCAAGCATGTGCAATGTGGTGTTCCCTCTGTCTCTTGCATCTCCTTCTGTTTGCCTTATATTGCAGGTAGAAGAAAATCTGGGTTTGTAATCTACACTGTCCTGTGTTTCGAATATTATTTAGCAGGGAACCAATACCCATTTTGCTTTTCTAGGACATATTATGACAGCTGTGAATTTTTTAAATTGTGAAAATAATTATCAGAAAAATAAAATATTTCTCATGGAAAAAAAATGTTAAGCATCCCCCATTGTGATCTCAATGAGCAAAATGCCTCATTTTTCCTTCTGATACATAACATCTGCATCCTGCATATCCCCAAGAAAAGCCTGTTTTGTCTGGTCTTTGGTGGTTCCATACATCAGTAAGAGCTAGCTCAAGTTAACTTGATTATTTTTTAAAGCTAACATGCAGTTTTCAACAGCATGTGCAGAAGTGGCTGACAGAGCAAGGGAAAGGGAGCTACCAGAGAGGTGTTGATGAAGCAGGGCCAGTCACCAGGGGTAATAGCTATCATTCCCCAGCAAGTCTCAGCCTCATTTAACCTGTTTTTACTAATATTTAATTTCTTTTTATTCTACAGTATATTTTTATTTAATTTATTTTAAAATTTATTTAATGTAATTTATTTTATTTTATTCTAAAGTTTTTACAGGGGCTGCAGTACTATACCTTGAGAAGGAACTTTCTTCTGCTCATGAAGGCAAAATCATTGTATTTGAGGTAAATCCCCACTCTGGTTAGAAAGGTAGAAAAGAATATGATTAAATAATTGTGTGTCACTGTCCTTCCTCCCCCTGTCGTTTCACATTTCTTCTCAGATGAGGAATGGAACGTAGTGCCCACAGGGTAAGGCAGTTATTTCGGAGTTTACAGACTATCACTGCCGAATGCTCAGTGACTCCACCTAAGAACAAGTAGCTTCTGAAAGGTGAACCCCCTCCCTCCTAACTTTCCAATAATCACATTACCAGCAACAGCAGTTTGAGGCATCCAGCGTAACATCTGGGACATGCAGATGCTCTGAAGAATAGAAAGTCAAGGAATTCCTATGGGTAGGCGCTCGCGGCAAGTCGTGACTTACCCACAGGCAGTCCTCAGTCGAACCCACGTCAGTCACTAGATGGCACACTTAAACAACGCACTGCGCTTCCTTACCTTGCGGCACAGGTGCTGGGCTGCGCCGGAGACCTTCTCCCACGGGGGACAAGGGATTCTTTGATGCACAGTCTTCTGCTGTGTACCTTGTATTTTTATTGCAGTTTCCTGTCTTCATTGGTAAGCTTCCAATTTATTATTAGCACGGCTTTAAGCTGAAAGAGGGTAGATTCAGACTAGATAGTAGGAAACAATTCTTCCCTGTGAGGGTGGTGAGACACTGGCACAGGTTGCCCAGAGAAGCTGTGGCTGCCCCATCCCTGGCAGTGTTCAAGGCCAGGTTGGATGGGGCTTTCAGCAACTTGGTCTAGCGGAAGGTGTCCCTGCCCGTGGAAGGGGGTTTGGAACTAGATGACCTTTAAGGTCCCTTCCAAACCAAACCATTCTGTGATTCTACAATTCTCTGCCTTTAGTTACAGTTAAATTAGTCTTTTCATCTTTAATTTGGGACAATGGCTCATTTCAGCTGCTTTGAGGAATGTCTGCAAAAAGTGCTATGAATCTGGCTTGTCACTCCAGTAGCAGTCACACAGCTGCAAGGTTAGGGGGATGTATGATTTATCTGGGGGGAAAATAATACATTGTGCAGCCCCTCTTGGACACTGTTTTGAAAGAGCAATTTTACAGAACATTTGTATCCTTCCATCATTTTATTTACACTCCCCAATTATTTAGCAGGACTTTTTGTTGTTATCACTGCTACTGATAACATAAGCAGTAATCAAAGTGGTTTTCCTTCTAACCATCCCTGTAGAGAAAAAAACGCATCTCAAACCAGGTGATGGGCAGAAATTTCAGTTGTTCTTGCTGTATTAGTCCTGCCAGGTGGGCATGACATCTTTACTGTACAGCCTACCTTTGTGTTGCAAAAACCCCACAAATTCAATGAAGTTACTTGTACTGCACCTTTTACTCTGACTTTCAGCCTTGACGACACAAGACTGTCTACAGGCCATGAATCCATATACACATACTTGAACTCTGCCCTCTAAGTGGAACCACTGGTGCCAGAACCCAGAGCTGGTTCCCCAGCTTGTGTCAAAGTCTATCCTCTGCTTGGCACAAAGCAAATAACTCCTTGGAGATGCATTTTTACAGCTTGCCAGCCTGGAGTCATGTTTTAAATTGGATCAGCATTTGTAAGGCAAATCTCCTAATCGTGTTTCTAATAATGCCTGGGGCTGCCCAGAGGGCTGATCTATGAGCACTCTGGTGGGGAAGCTTAAGGTCATGATGTGTTTCAGGAGTACACCTAACACTCCTCAGCTTCCAGCAGGTTTTCAGCCCATGCGACCAGCCTAGAGCTAGGCCAAAATGGGAATAATGAAGATATCAAGTACTCAAAAAAAAAACCAAAACACAACCAACCAACCATGGCACAGTACAAATACACCCTATGGAGCCATGCTACCTGCCAAATGTTTGTGGAGATACTGTTCCTGATGCTTAATGTGAAATCTCCCCCAGTCTTCGTTTGGGAACAGTCCTTAAATTTGGCCATCAGTGATCTCTATACTGTATGTTGTTTCCTTCAAATTAAAGCTTTTAGAGAATTTTGCCAACAATTAGAGAGAACATGCCTACATCTCCTCTTTTCTCCTTGCACCTGTAATGAAGTACCTGTCATGGCTGTCCCAGGGATTTGTTCTTTTACACTGTTGATGGACATTGTGACAGACAGAGGAAAAGATTCTATTTCGTACAAAGAAGTAACATAATTCACTGCCCTAATTCCACAGTCTGTGGTGCTGAGGGGTTGGAGCATTTTAAAGACATGCTGCAATTTGCCATCTAGGAGGATTCAGTCATGCAGAGTAACTGTGCTCAACCTTGCTGGTTTTCACCTTATATTTCTGGTTTAGAGTAGGATGTATAAAATCCAGACTCAGTGTGCCCTCTAGTGAAAGCGTATTCTTTCCTTCTGATTAAAAAAGCATTATCAGAATTTAATGTCCTAGTTTTTTTCTCCCTCTAAATATGGCTACAGAGACTGCTGACAGCACTTACTAGTGTAAAAAAAAATCTTCACAGCAACCTCTTTTGTTAGACAGCAATACTATCTAGTGATGCATGTTATCCATCTCATTTTAGTTGGTGGTATCTGGTAACTTAAGGTCCTGAAGTCTTACTGTGTGGCAAGAAAAAATTAAGCTGGGGCAGAGGAGGAGGAAGAAGAGAACCAGGACTAGTGCTCACACCTGCAACCTTTTCTCCATGGGTCCTTTTTCCTTGAGCACTTTCTACTATGCCAAAAGACTGCAAGGTGTAAAAACATGCAGCAACTATTTTGTATCAACTAATGCATACAGTACACAGGTACAACTAACAGTCTACTCAGCTAAGTATTACTTAAGTGTTAACTATTACCCAAGTACTTTAGTACAGGTTACTCCACTGAGTATTGCAAATATTATCAGGCAAGCAGCTGTTGGTCAGGAAGGGAACTTTTCATTTCCATGGCTCTTTAGAGTGGATCATGACCCCTTGTCCGGCCAAGCTGCTGTCTGCTGAATCTCTGCCTTCTTTCTGAGGGTGCTGCATCTTTCCCCCCTCCCTAGTATTTTCCAACTAACTTACTGCTGCCACAATTTCACTTCTCCCTGCATACTTACTTTCATATGGCTTTAGCTTACACACTTTCTTGCAGCTGGACAACTTTGTAACCAAAACTCAGCCAAGGTATCACAGCTGTGTCCCCACAAAAGCAAGCCTTGGGTCTTCACAGGCAGCTGAACATCTGCACTGCTGTTTGGTGTTTGAAAGTTAGCTGCACATTTCCACCAGAACAGAGACATTATATTGCTCTCTGTTGTGACACCTAGACTGGTGTTATACTGACCATTAACAGTGGGGGGTTTGAATTCTGATTAGGGCAGGTTAGACTACTAGCTCTTTGGATATTTTGGTACTGTCATGAAGTTCATGCTAGGCAGCTCATTGCAACACCAGCAACAGAGACCTTGAATTAACCATCGCTTATATCACTGAAAGTCTTTCTGATAAAACACACTGGTTTTGATTTCTGAAAAAAAAATCTTCTAGTGATAGAAACTGTCCCACAGGCTCAGATAGGTTGTCCCAGTGATTGCTTTAACCCCTTAAGAAGGACCAAGTGCACCAGAATGTTTTCAGCAAGACATGCTGATTTTGAAATAGACTGTGAAAGATGTGAACAACAGATTTTGTGGTGGAGTCTTTTATAGAGAACAAAGAGAGTATTAGAATCCACCTTGTGAAAGTTCAGACGTACAGGAAGAAGACCAAGCTTTTTGAATAGCAGAGCAGAAAAGCCCCCAGGTAACTGATAACTAAAAGAAGCACTTACTTATCAGAAGCCACACATATGGAGAACGAAGAATATGATCTTGGTGGGGCAGCTGGAAAAAAAATCTTTGATTTGCTGGTTAATCAGAATGTACTGCAGGGAAATCAATATAAGGATAATCTCATTTGCTATTTATTTCTGGCTCATATTTTCACAGGCTTGGAAATACGCTTTTCATCAGTCATCTACTCTGGAGAGGAACGGCATGAATCTCAACGCTTCTGCTATTTTCACCTGCAAAATATTCAAAATTGTTTCTGCAGAAGCTATGGGCAGCAGTAGGGGACATTTATTTAAAGAAATTTGGAACAATGGATCGCTAGTGATTAAAATAAAAATGGAAATTACATTCCAGATGCAGGAGGCAAATGAGTATTTCATTTATGATACTTTGCCATTTAGCATGTATGAACCAACTCCGAGCGGCTGCATTTTGGAAATTTTGAAACCTGGTTGTCTTTTGAATCCTATGAAAAATGTAGATTCAGGCTCCGTGTTTTATGCTAATGTGAATAGGTGAAGGAGAATACCAGTTTGTAGAAACAAGGGAATTAGCATGTGAATGGGGAGTATTGGACTTCTCCCTCTTGAAAAGGCAGCTTTCAAAGTAGAAACTGGGATTTAAATCTCACACTGATTTTTCTCTTTTCATATCCTCAAATCATGTTACTTGCAGTGCATTAACAGCCTTTGAGCCTGTACCCCATTGGGCTACAGGTGCTGTCATTTTAACTAATAGCTATAATCTACAAATCTAACAATCAATGAACTAACCTGTTTTTTCCACCACCGCCCCCCTCCCTTCTTAATTCTACTCTTGGATCTCAGTTTCAGTTTTCAGGACTGACGGTTATAAAAATACTTGCAAAGAAAGAAGCTGACTGTGAGACCAGCCTGGACTCCCTCCTTCCTCATCAAATCCTGTTTTTTCAGAGGACTGCATTGTCAGCCTCACCAGAGAGGTTTGCTTCCAGTGCTGATGTATTCCTTGCAAACAAAACAAGCTTGCAGCAGCATGTTGATGAATAAGCTAGATTGCAGTGACACAGGAGAATTAGTGCCTACTGAAGGGAGACAACTTGTGGAGATAGTTTCAGGAATGCTTTCAGCATAAGCGGCCATCCACATGTCTAAAACTGCACAGCTCAAACAACTTAGTCCCATACTGCTACAGATCAAGCCATCTTCAGCAGAGACTACATTCGCATTCTCTGCTCATGTGAAGTAAAAATTCAGGAATCTCTGCTGTGACTGAAACTCCCCAATGAAAGCAGATTTTTGCCTTCCGAGCTCTTCTCCTCCCTCTCCCCCACCTCCATTCCCCTGAATTAGCCATAGCAACCTGCCCTGCATTTCAAACACCTGCTTGCATTTATTCAATGGTGTGACAGTTTGCTTTCCTTCATTGCATTTTATTTGCCTTTGTTTAATGATTAAAGCAAACCAAAACCGTTGTAGCAGGTTTTAAGCGCCTTCTTCAGCAAAGAACAGAGCTTGCAGTAAGTATGATCTGGTGGCATGACACTCCTGCCTCTGCCAGCACCAAAGCTGGGCCACTTTGGGCTGCTCCCAGGACAAGCCCTGCAAATATGACTTGGTATGATGCTCTCTGCCCCACCCAGCCTGCTTTTATCTGCAAATACATCTACATTATTTTGAAAACAACATTTTAATTGACAATAAAATGGAGATTTTTCACGTTTAGTCCTCTTACTTGTTTGGGGTAACCACAGTAGTCTTCTTACAAAGTAACACTAATCTGAGGTCTGTAGCAACTGGATGTTCCTACTGCATTAAAAAAGAGTGGTGGCTAAAATCCACTTCTGCTGCATTGCCAGTTGGAAGGGTGGCAGGAGGTGCAGCTATATTATGCTGCTTTAAGTGTATAAAGTTCCTTTTTCTCCTGACAATGCCAGTGTTTGCCTTTCTGACTAAACGACTGACTCTGAGGCAAAGCTGCTTTGCTCCTAGGGGGAATGTAAGTCACTCAATAAAACAAGTGTTTACAGTGGTAAGATTACAAAGGTTGTTTGTGTTTGTTTGTTTTTAAAATGAATATGGACTTGTCTTGATTGCCCTACTGGGCAAGAAAAGTTTTCTAATTAGTTCACTGAAAATCTTGAATGGTACAGAACCAGTGTTGGAGCTGCCTTGTAACAAGATGCAGTGTCTCCCAAAAGGATTTAATTGAGGCACCTGTGATCTCCTCAAGAAGAGGCAATTTAGGTGGTAGCTGGGAGGAGGGAATGCACCATTTTTCAGTTCAAGTCACCTTTACCATCCTTTGAAAGCAACACCTGGTGTCACGTTCCTAAATCTGCTTTGCACTTTGCTAATTTCAAGGAACTCCCACCTGACATCTGTGTCAGTCTAACCTTGCAGTTAGTCAGGCTGTGCTTAAAGATGAGATACAGTAACATGGCTGAACAAATCTGCTGAAAGGAGTTCCACTATTACCCTGGTTTCTTTGCAGCTCTGGAGAGTATCTGTAACCTCTTCACTGTTTTGGTGAGAAGCAGGGAAGTAGGAGCACTTCTCTGCTTCTGCAAACTCTGGCATAGCCTGAGGTTGGGTTTGCCTTCAGCGGGGTAAGGCGGCATTCCAGGAAAAGTGAGGTGGGACAGTCCCTCATTGCAGCTGAGGTGCTTGTGGCAAGGTGTGAGCCTGATACAGCCACAGCCACCTTCTGCAATATCAGTATATGTGGTCAGGAGACTTTCTGGCAAAGCATTTTAACAAAAAGTATTGTAAAAAATTGAGACGATGGACTCTTCATTAGGGACTGTAGAGACAAGACAAGGAGGAATGGGTTTAAACATAAAGAGGGGAAGTTTAGGTTAGATATAAGGAAGAAGTTCTTTACTGTAAGGGTGGTGAGGCACTGAAACAGGTTGCCCAAGGATGTTGTGAATGTTCCATCCCTGGCAGTGTTCAAGGCCAGGCTGGAAAGAGTCTTGGGTGACATGGTTTAGTGTGAGGTGTGCCTGCCCATGGCAGGGGAGTTGGAAATTGATGATCTTAAGGTCCTTTCCAACCCTAAATATTCTATGATTCTATGACAAATATACTCATTTTAAACAAATTCCTTCATGGAAGGAATGGGCTGAGATAACAAATAAATATGGAAACACAAAGCAATTCTCAATGTTAATGTTAAGTAACAACAAATATGAAAATCAACTTCATAATTCCTATTTTATAATCATAGGATTACAGACTGGTTGAGGTTGGAAGGCACCTCTAAGATGAGGAGAACCTCCCTTGTACAATACCCTTGCTCAGGCAGGGCCACTGAGAGCTGACTGCCCAAGTCTATGCCCAGACATCTTTGGATATTTCCAAGAATGGAGACTCCAGTGTCCCTGGTCAATCTGTGCCAGGACACAGTCCAAGCTCTCTCAGTCTTTTCTCACAGGAGAGGCGCTGCAGTCCCTTCATCACCTTTGTGGCCCTTCTTTGGACTGTCTCCAGTATGTCCACGTCTCTCTTATACTAGGGAGCCCAGAGATAGACACAGCACTCCACGTGGGGCCTCACCAGTGCTGACTAGAGGGGAAGGATCATCTCCCCTGGCTTGCTGATAGTTCTGGCAATAATCATAACAACTGAAATATTTCACTTCTTTTCACAACTAAAATTATTTTGAAGGATGATACTAAATGACTTTGTAGAAGAAAAACATTTTGCATTTAGTTTTTCTGATAACTTGGTGAACTCAAATCTGTACGATCAGAATTGCAACTATGATACTCATGAATACATGAGATGTGATTTGGTAGGGAGATGTCATTTGAATGAAAAGGACAGAAATGGTGTGCATTGCCTAATGTTTCTGCAGTCAGAATCCAATAGCTTGCTGACCATCACTGCAGCACATCTAAACCATTTCACACACAATAGTCACCTAATCCGTTTATGTGACTTACAACATGTCTGTGAGAGGGAAAGGGGCTCAGTTTCACCTGTATAGTGAGGCATTTATTTGGGAGGAACAATACTTGATATTCTTATGGCATTACATTTTCAGCTGATACTGTATAGTAATGAAAACATTTTTCATGTAAAAATAAAAACTACAATAAGATAGTCAAAATCTGATCTCAACCAGTGAAAAATTATAGAATAGGTCTAGCAAGGTGGTGAATACCATGCCATTATAACCAGTGAGCCAGAAGACAAATAAATCACCTGAAAAATGCAGCCTTACGCCAAAGTATTGTTATCCTTCCCCTCTGTGCCTGGCTCAGAAAGATTACTTTTCATGTTAACAGAACTGGACTCCAGCTTCCACTTAGATACATTAGGAAAGATAGTGAAGGGTGACACTAGTCCGCTTATGTGTCACTCAGAGTGATGTGAAAGTACCAAGACAAGGACAATTTCTGAGAGCAACTCCCTCCAGTGCTGCTTTTTCTCAGGTGATTGCTGATTCCATGGCTGCCTGGATGCTTTCTGTAGAGAGGTCCATCTTATATTTTACACTGAATCTTATCTGGAAATGTGAGTTGTGGTCCCCAGAGGGTAACAGCTGTAGCACAAACAAGGCATAGGGTATAGATATCTAGGCCTGCTTATGCTGTAGCTTCAGTTATGGGTGCACCTGATAAATCTTTTTTTTCCTTTCCCCTCACTTAGAAAAAGTAATTTTGTAATCTTATCTTATTCATTATGCATGTGTAACATCAAACTACCAGAAGTCAATACCCATGAAGTGGTTAAGGGCTGGTGAATGTCTGCCGAACACAACTGAAAATGGCCTCTAAAGGCAAGCATATAGCAACTGTAACAACAAAAATGGTCTATGCTCTTCATTCTGCTTTTCAGTGTGTCCATCCCACACCACTCCCAGCTTCAGCTGAGAAGAAAAGCATTAAAACTACACAGATGTGGAAATGTTGCTAATCATTTGAGTCTGACACCCTCAATTCAATTGCTTAATGAAGTGTAAATATTACTCTGGACCACCTGTGGTTCCAATCTTATCTATGTCCACATTCATATCCTTATCTAATCAGGTGCAGACCTGAGTGATGATGCAACATGGAGAAAGTAAGACTTCCAGATAGTCAGATCTCTGCACAGAATCAATTTTTCACCTGAAAAATGGCATTTTATGACTCCTGTTATCGCAAAGCGCACAGTTTTCTCCCCACCCACGAAGCTCTCCGGCTATGTTTTCCCACTGCTCATCAAAATAATTTGCAAAACAAGCTGCACATTATGTTTAGTAGGCAGAACATTTGTTTTGTTTTTGTTTTTGTTTTTTTGCTAAATTACGGTATTTTCCAGTCCCATTCTTTGAGCAAGCCCTGTATAGGGACCCAGGATATTTTACCTAATGGTACTCCTAGAAAAGCCACCAGCTATTGGCAGCCGGCCTTCAAGTCTGAATTTAGGCCTAAATACACTTACCAGGATCAAGTTCATGCATATGCCAAATGAACATAATGCATTTACTTCTTCCTTGAACTATGTATATTAAAACAAACTAAAATGTCATGGGATTCTTATTTGGCATTGGTCTTGAGCCCCACTATAGGCATGGATCTGAGCAATCATGCTTGCATCCTGATCTGACTTCCCACGGTTAAGAAGAACTGGAAACTACCATCATGATGAAAAAATGGCTGTACAATACCTACCAGATAAGCTTATCTCTAACCAAAACCTAGCACTACTATAACCATGACAAAGGTTTCTTGTAGTAGTGAGGAGACACAAACTTCCTTAATTGTTCTCTTCTTTCTCCTTGCAGAACTTCATCTGCTGGAAGTTATGCTTAGGGCTACTTTGTTAAGTCACTGTACACAGATATAACTACTGTACTTCCCTATTTTCTCCTCTAGACCAATTTTCTCCTCTAGACCATTCTATAAGCTAAAGTCTGCAAACTACTGCAGAAAAATCAAGTAAAATATATCTTGCTGTTTACAGTGAAGGGGAACTCCCGAATCTTGCAAAAAGTAGTATCAGCAGAAGGTGAAAAAGTGGATTTGAAGTCCAAGATGTCACCAAAAGGACAAAGATGATGTTTAACCTGTGCTATGCAAACCGGTTCAGTTTCTTTACTGTGCACTTCCAAATCAGTAATAAATAAACTGAATAAATATATGATAATGGGACCAATAAAAGCTTATTGGTTGAAAAAATGTGGAAAAGTAGTTTTAATACAGAAATTGGAGAAACTACAGTCATTAGTTTAAACTTCCCATGGGCTCAAGTTAAGCCTAAAAGTCCCACCAATTCATGTGTAAATCTATAGAGTGAAAAAGCCCAATGATCAGTAAGAACCATCGGCTAATAAAACATACCAAGTCAGACAAACCTGATACCCAAACCCACTGTAATTACGTGTGTGCTATATAAAGGCATTCTAGTGCATGTAAAGCTTATCGATTTTAGAAAAGCACTTGATATGACACTGAATTAAAAAAAATCTAGCATTTCGTGCATGAGA